ATATATATATATATATATATATATATATATATATTATGTTATTTTTTAGTGGATACTCGTATTTGAATAGATGCACCGTGTATTTATTTATTTTGTTTACCGGCATGAGAAATCTCATTAGAGAAAAAATATGCGGATATTTAGGCTGGTAGACGAAAATAAATAATATCCTGTTTAATAAATAAACAGAAACTTCTATTTAAATCCACTAAAGAAACGTTAAAGTAATAAAAATCTGTTGTATTAATAGATAAAAATATTCACCACATTACTATATATATATATATATATATATATATATATATATATATATATATATATATATATATATACGTAGACACACAGAGGCGCACTCACACACACACACACACATATATATATATATATATATATATTATTGCTTTGAAATCTTAATAGTGGAATTATGCTAACATGAATTGTGATATACATTAGAGAGTATCTCATGTTTCAATGTTTCGCATGATTTGAGTGGCACCTTTTCAATGTTAATAATGGTTGTAACAGCATTACACTGATAGAATTGACTGACCCATAAGATAGGCGAGTGTTGTTTTTATCTGCTCCATTCTAAGTGCTCATTCAAACACACTCTCCTGCCTTAACCCTCGCGTCGATAGGACACAGATCTAAGGAATGTGGATTCATGCATTTGTAAGAGCATTACTACGTAGATAGGGTAAATAGCTTCTGCTAAAATTCAAAATAGGCATTCCGTGACACCTCCCGTGACACCTTTCGTGACACCATCAAACACACATGCATAAATACAAACACATACATACAATCAAACACATACATACATGCAAAAAAGGTAGATACGTTTTGGATGTCTGTTAAAAAAATAAAGAATTACGCCACCAAATTCTAAATTTGTTTGAGGTCTTAAGATTGTAATTGTTTTGAGATATAGCGAAATTCACTTCAAGTATCTGTCGTTATGGATGAATCTTAAGGCACATACGCACACACACATAAACACACACAAACGTATATATATATATATATATATATATATATATATATATATATATATATATATATATATATATATATATATGTGTATGTGTACCTTAAGGTGCATCTATAATGACAGACACTTGAAGTGAATTTCATATATATATATATATATATATATATATATATATATATAATTTTTCATATATATATATGAATATATTTCATATATATATATATATATATTTCATATATATATATTTATATATATATATATATATATATATATATATATGTATATATATATATATATATATATATATATATATATCGACAGACATACTGAATTTCATATATATATATATATATATATATATATATATATATATATATATATATATATATATATAAATCAATATATATAGTGATTTGCGCAGCAACCCCTTTTCATACAAGTTTCGTTAAAGACGACCGAGATGGTGCTGAGATTAAACTTTTCTTTAAGTTTTCATGTGTTCGTACAAGTTGGACAGTTTTTACACACTTTGTGTCCAGAGAAGAAAACACTTGTAAGAACACAAGAAAAATGAAATAAAAAGCTTTTAAGCCCAGTAACTTCTCAGTCGTCTTTCACGAAACTTGTATAATAGAGGGGTTGCTGCCCATATACACAATATGTATATATTGAATTTCATTTATATATATATATATATATATATATATATGTGTGTGTGTGTGTGTGTGTGTGTGTGTGTGTGTGTGTGTGAAGAAAAATATACTGAAAAAAACAAAAATCCTAATATGCGATTATGCTGTTTTAATGTTTAATGTCAACGTCGGACGTTTCGGTCTAATAGACCATCTTCAGGACATATTCATAAAACATAATTAACATCGACCATATACAATTCAACATGAAAGACGATGGACATAAAAGCAATATAATGTATGTGTGTGTTTGTGATATAGTGGACACATAGATCAACATCGATTGGCGACAATCCGTTTCAAGTTTGTAGGATGTTTTCTGGCCATGTTAACCACTTGCTGTTGACCTCAGTGTTCTTTTTAATACTTACACACGCTCTACCACGGATACTAATCCCTTTTACGCTATATACCATGCCTGAACACTATGTTTCATCACCGATATCTGCATTTCGTAGTGGTGCAATGGTTATCAAACTTGTCACGGTTGATTATTTACGTCTGAGTAGTGAGTTCGATTCTCACCGGGTGCTCCTCACGTTTGGCTTTGTGCCACATCTAAGCGTTGCCTCGTAAATCACTTATATCTATAATTGTAGCTGCACACAGAAGAATTGTAATTATTACAAATAGAGAAATGTTTGAACAGAACTCAAAAATAAATCACAATAAGCCATATTGGCAAGAAGCTAATAATAATAATGATACATTTCATAAGCAACACCTCCCCATTCTACTTAAAGCGTATGGGCACACCCCAATGCTTGCAGCATTATCTGAGGTAACTGGGCAATTTCTAGATAATCTCCTATGTAGCTATAGATCTGTTTTAAAATAAAAAGACCTCCACAGTCGTACATGATTTCATCGGATTGTAAATATCCTAGAGACCCATACTCTCTTCTTGTGAAAAGTGGGGATATTTTAAGTAAAGAGAGGACTTTCTGTTCCATTTCAACCCTCTAGTTTTAAAAGTGTTCTACGTATAATATATATACACATATATATAATATATACATGAATATATTAATTAAATATAAATTACATATATATATATATATATATATATATATATATATATATATATATATATATATATAATAAATTCCCGCTCTACTTAGCGTATTGAGCACTTTTACGTTTTAGTCTTCTACTCGCTTGTTTTTTTTTCTTCTTTCGACTAAAAAAACTTAAGGCACCGGTCGATTTATTTCGAGGATGTTTTTAGTTCTTTTTTTTTAGTTCAATTTTTCCCTCGGCTACCGATTTGTTTTGACATATCTACAAGTTGAGCTGAGGTTTTTTACCAAACGAGTATTACTATATATATATATATATATATATATATATATGTATATATATGTGTGTGTGTGTGTGTGTGTGTGTTTACATTCAGATTAATGACCTCGTTTTTGCTGTTATAATTACAACGTTTCGGCGTTGAACACTTATCCTTCTTCAGACATCTATTGATCCAAGTAACCTTCAGAAAAGTTAAAACTGAACTCTTTATTTAATCTACGGTGGTAAAATTTCTCTTTCTTCTGTTCATATCTAGGCATATTTTGTTGTAAAGTAATTGTTGTAAAGTTCAATTCTTAGGCTGGATAGTGGAAACTTAAATTTTGTAGAAGTATAGCGTGGTATTATTGAGTAGTACTACAAAGAGAACAAGACGAGATATCCCTTGATAAGTAGAGTGGTATAGGAATATCCATACTCCAAAGATGAAATAAAGGGTTCAGTTCGAAATTTACTGAAATGGTTACCCGGATGGCGAGTGACCTGAGGAGGACCGGACGGCACAATTTTGTGATAATAACAACAAAGATAAGGAGATTAGTCCATCTGTAAATAATGTAAATAATAATAGCAACGAATAAACACAGACTGAAACATTTATTTGTCATACAAGTTATACGTAATCTAAACAACATAATCCTTACAACAATTAAACATTAACAATTTCGCATTTAGGACTTCCCATACGAATTTTTATTTATTCGTGTGAGCTAGTTCGGATAAAATTCTATCACGGTCTTTCATTTAGGTCAGAAGGTCATTAGGATGGCATTTTGTATCATTCCATAGCTGGTCTATATAGATAGTTACTGGGCGACCAACCCGCTTTGCCCCATGTCTAGGTGTCCAGAGCAATAGATCACTCGCAATTTTTTGTTTTGCTAGCGAGCAGTGTCCTGTGTTCATGTAAGATTGTAGAAATATCAGGGAGCTGTGATTTTGTTAGAATTTGTCTCCAAGATATGTTAATTATAGTTCTCGGCATCTGAGTGTAGGTTCCGTTAAGCTTAGACTCAAGGATTTTAGTAAATGTCTAAGTAGTGGCACCATACATTAAATGTATCTCTACAGTTGCTCGATAGAATTTTTGTTTGAGGTTTTCTGGTAGATCAGATTTTCGGATTACAGCAATTTTATTCAAGGCGATCCTGGCTTTAGCTGTGCGAATTCTCACGTCCTTTTTCAGTAGAATTTATTTCGCTACCTCGGTATGTAGAAGATTCGAAAGATTTTATTGGATCTGCTGAGACACTGAGCCCTTCTGGTTGAAGCTTAAGAATTCGGTTTTAGAGGGATTGACATAGGGTCCAATATAAGCATACCATAATCCACAAAACAATATCATTTAAATATAACATTTATCACATACATGCATTCTGTCTTCTGTGGAACGATTATTAGCAAGCTACTATTGATATTTGTCCCGGGTTCGATTTCCACTGGGTGAACATTACTTTTGCTTTGTGCTTCCCACGGTTAAATGTTAATTTTTAAAACCGGTTCGCTCTCTCACTTGGAAGCCTGACGCAACACAATCCCTATTTCCCGTTTAGTCGGCCTTATATTGTACTAAATCCAGATCAGTAAATAATAAATCATTATCACACGGAAGGCAGAAATACTAATGATAGGTTCTGGCCATCTTAAAGGCTACTTGCCGTAGAGAGCGATGGTTAGAAAACATATCTTTTCATTTTAAACTCATAGTGTTTAATGAGTTTTTTCTCTCTCTCTCACTGCTTACAGTATTATGGCCAGATGGTAGATTAAGCTAAATTTAGGAAATGAATGACGAGGGAGGTGATTTTTGAGGTGGATCACTGTTGTGGTTTTAAACAGAACTAAGCTATGGTTATCAGCAAGTGAAATATCCTAAGATTAGAACGACAAATTAGAGATGCCAAATCTAAGCAAGTACGACCATTTAAATATATATTTCTAAGCGCTTCACCCCAAGCAAGGAGTGAAGCCACTAGCTTGCAAGGGGTTACAGAGAGTTGGAGTGAGACCAAATAGGAGTGATAGAGGAAAGGATGAAGAAAAGGATAGGGGATAGATCAAGGCATCTGGAGACGTCGATTGGCATTACATTTGAATAGTTGGAGATTATAGCTATCAGGGAAACAGGAAAAGGGGAAGGAGTTACACAGGCGAGAAGTGTGAGACAAGAAGCTATTGGAGACGACTACATTTAACAGTTTCGACAGTGAAAGGGTGAGAGCGAGATGCCAGCCTAGTTGAACGCTTAAATTCATGAAGTCTGGGAACCAGCGAGTGCAGCTCATCGGAGCAGTTACCATGAAAGTATTTGTAAAAAAGATAGAGGGAGGCGACGGTACGTCTGTGAGAGACCGACTAAAGACGAGATGCCAAATCATGGCCAATTACATATTGTATATCCGTCTCTGGATTTTATCAGCGACCTTGAGATAAATATAAGGGGCACCAGACCATATATGGCAGCAGTACTCCATGCAAGGGCGAATGGTTGATTTGTAGATTTGAAGGATCGAATCCAGTGAGAAAAATTTCCTGGCGCGGCACAGGGAGCCAACTTTCCTTGCGGTGGACGAAGATATTGACAATGTATTTGTTCTATCTCAGGTCAGCAGACAGTGTGAGACCGGGCAGTCGCAAAGAGGTGATCTCGTGGAGTTGAGCGTGAGACATTCTAATGGGAAGCAGGGATGGTTAATCTAGAATGTTTTTACAGAATACAAAAAATGTGACACCGAAAACCGTAGGAGCAATTGAATAGTGAAAGAGCCCCAAACTCTTACGTAATACCTGTCCTCTTATATGGCAGTGAATTCGGGACAATTTTCTCACAGATGAAGAAGAGACTTTAGGTAACAGAGATATAGTAGCGCAGAAGGATGCTGAGAATGCTATTGACTGACGATAAGAGCATTTAGGAAATTACAAGGAAAATGGAAATTAAAAAGACGCTTTTACTTAGAAAATGACGGTTAAATTTCTCGTACATATAATGAGGAAAGGAGGCTACAGAATATGACACTCTCATGGCATATTGAGGACAAGAGTTTCAGCAGGAAGCAGTAAGTAATCTACCTAAAAACTTTGTGAAAATGAATGGTCAACTAGGGACCTTAGTTAGGGCTACAAAGGATAGGAAGTTGTGGAGATCCATGACTTGAAGAGACAGACTACACAAAAGAAGCTAAGATTTAAATAAATACCAACTAGCAACGTAGACAGTAGCTCTTATCGGCCCTTTGAACGTACTGTCTTCATTCCCTCAGATAGCCATTTTTATTATGCTGTGCCAGACGAGACCTCGTTTACGTTTAACAAATAATTTTTACATTCTCACAATCATAATGAGTTGACATATATTCAATCTCTCATAATTCTCGCTTATGGAACTCACTCCCGGCTTCTTGTTTTCCAGTAAACTTTATTCTTCAAAAATTTAAATGCAATGCTAATCGTTACCTTCTTAATTCGTATCCTTTTATTGTTCTCTCTCATTAATAATGATTTCTTTTCTCATATTCTCTCACACTCAGTAATCCCTTGCGCCTCAGGGACATTATTGCCTTGATTGGTCTAAAATGATAATATATATATACTCATAAGATATGTATGTAGTTGATGCATATGCATCAGTCGTCGTTATTTATTTATTGCTTAAATCACACACGACACGCACACTGGACGCACAATCACAGGCGTGTACTCAAATATCTTTTTGTTTTCTTAATTCTATCCATACAAACACTAAGAAGGGGGGAAGAGATGCGCGCGAAACGTAGAAATGTGCGGGTTCGCCTGCTGCTGCTGGATTGATTCTTTCTTTGAGTGATTTTTCTTCGTTTTTCTGTTGTAGACACCCAACTAAAATGTGCGCAGACACCAACACAGACAAGCATACAAAAACACGCACGCACACGAGCACGCACTAATGCAGACATACGCACACACGCCCTAGTACGTACACACATTCAGAGGAGAGAATTGTCAGCCAAACATGCACGCAAACTGACGGGCGTTCTTGTCTTGCGTTTTGCCCTTTCTGTTTATTCTGATCCTCCATCCATCCAGTAACCAATCCATACATCCATCCATTCAACTTTTCTTGCTTTTACTTTTTCTTATCTTTTCATTTTCTTTCTTTCTTTTTTATTTCTTTTATTCTTTTTAATTGTTCATTTCTTACTTTTTCTTTCTCTTTGCCATTTCTTTTTTTTCTTCATAATTGTTTTTTCTTAATAATTTTCTCTTTTTCTTTCTCTTTGCTTTTTCTTTCTTTTTTTTTCGTTATAATTTCTTTTTGACCTTTCTTTCTTTCTAATTGTTTTCATTTCAGTTTTTGTCTTTTTCCTTTCTTTTTATAATTGTTTTTTTTTATTTTTAACACTTTTTCTACATATTACTTCGAACTGTTGTTTCTTATTTATTTTCTTTCGTTTTTCTTTCTTTCTTTCTTTCTTTCTAATTGTTTTCATTACTTTTTCCTTTGTTTTTCATCTTTTTCTTCCTTTCTTTTTATAATTGTTCTTTATTTTTAACTCTTTTTTCTACTTATTCCTCTTTCGAACCGTTCTTTTCCTTATCAATTTTTTTTTCTTTGTTCCTTTCTTTCTTTCTTTCTTTCTTTCTTTCTTTCCATGCATCCAGCCAAACACACACACACACACACACACACACACACACACACACACACACACACACACACACACACACACACACACACACACACAAACGTACTCATCCTTTAACACTGTAGCAGCAGTTGTAATAATAGCAGCCGAGGTAGTTGCTCTTGTTATTGATGTTAACGCTGGTAATCGTGGCCGTAAGTAGTAGTAGAAGTAATCTTAGTTGTGATTGTATTTGTAGTGGTAGTAGCTTTGATGGCAAGTGATAGTTGTGGTGGTAGCATTTGTAATCAGTTTTGTTCAAGCAAGAAAGGCTAAGGACGCCAACAACACATGGCCAGAGAATGTACAGATTTTGACACAAGGAGCTTTATTTTCTATTCGCTTGTCTTCCCCACACCCCCAAATCCGGACCTCTAAATTCGTCATTTATCTTTCTTTGTTTTTCATTTATTCTTGTTAAAAAAAATGCTGGATGATATCAAAAACACATTATATACCTACGAAGATATATACTTTGTTTGGTGGCATTAATAAAGTATTGACTTTAAGAACTTTGAGAAAAAATTGAAATTCGGACACGAACTGCAACTAAATTCCAATTTATTTATACAGAATTACCTACTGGGTAAATATTTAGTTACCTTTTAAAGCGAAATTCCAGACGTCTTAACCGAGATTTCAAAACAAAAGTCGGTATAAAAATTATTTTAAACTTTTTCTTATTCTTTTAAAATAAATGCAGTTACTTGTTGATACACAGTAAAATAACAACAAAAATAAATAAATAAATAAATAAAATAAAAAATAAAAAAATACATAAAAATAAAAATAAAGTTTCACATTAAAATAACAAAAAAGTTTTCTTTTTTTTAACACATTGAAAAAAAACACTTAATCAATAGGGGTACTTGCATCGCATGCGTACCCTAAAAAACTAAAGCTCCCCGAAGTTTACTATCTACCTTCACGCACGAATCATTTCGGAAACTCTCTTTCACCTACGGACACGCTTATAAAATGAGGAGTTAACATTTCAACAAAAGACGAACAGGTCGATCGTAGGAGTGACAAGATGCCAATTTGTGGGTCTATGATCGTCTACCCACGTTCAGCGGGTCTAACACTTATTTGCCGATTAACAGAGCCACCTGCAGGCAGACTTCCTTGTACAGTGTGAGCCGTCCTCAATGCAGTGAAAAGTTCCAAAACTCAAAACAAAAATGAAGAACAGCGGTATCAGGTGTTTTTAGCAAACAGGGAACACTTCAATCTTACTCAATTAAAACATAGAATTCCAGGGACTTCGATCCCCTTGGAAATTGTACCACACCGGCTTATGCTTTCAATTTGTTTGATTTATTTCTGCCAGTAAATCAGACTTTTAGGGGACGGACCAGGAAATAAAACTCACACAAAGGTAGGTGGATCTAAATATTTAAAAAAAAATCGTGATCAGAAAGTAAATGTGCTGTGTAGATACTTTTATATATATATATATATATATATATATATATATATATATATATATATATATATATATATATATATATATATATATATATATATATATATATATATATATATATATATATATATATCAATTAATGTATATGTGATAGCCAGGAATTGCATTACAGATTTGTTTGTGTCTGAAATCAATTAAAAAAAGTATTATTAAAGATTAAGGTAATTGCTATCGAGAGTACAATAAGGTAGATTTATATATGGATATACAAGTAAAAATTAGTTAATAATGTGAAGAAAACATCTTTTTTAATTTCTGATGTAAAAATTGATGCTTAAAACGACCTTAGGTGTTCATCCTCCGTGTGTGTATATTTAACAATAACATTTATGAATATACAAACACACACGCGCGCGCAAACATACACGCATATTATAATGTATAATATAATTGGGCTTACATATCTGTATGTACATACATGTAAAGAGAAAAATTAGATATGTTTCATTGAAAAAGGCTGATAAGGTACTTTTGTTTAGATTTTTTATTGTATGTATACACGAGAACGCGTACCTCCAATTGCGAAAAAAGCCTTTTAAAAATGATTGAACCAATTGGGATAAGCTTGGATGTGCAGGTGGTGCAATGGATAATAGTTCGGAATTGATAATCGGAGAGTCGAGTTCCAATTCCATTTTGGTTCGTTATATCCACTGACACACAAATTTCCTTGGGAAAGGTGAAAATCCACCTCTTCTGCCCTCAGCTATGGGTTAACTTTGTTAAATTTGTATCACTAAATCATTATTATCTAAAAAAAATATATTGATATCTAAAAATATTTTCTGGCTTTAAATAACCTACAATGGGTTGATAAGTCGTAGAAAATGAATAAAATCAATGAATGAATAAAAAAATGATTGAATGGTTTATTATGAAAAGAAGAGTCCAATCCTTAGTAACATCAATTATGAAAGTGGCCATAATGTACTGGCCGTATTTGGATATTAACAATGTGTTTACTTTCAGTAGCTTTTATATTGTCTCTGATAATACTTGCATAAAATTTATTATAGAAGCATGAGAAAAATCCTTGAAAACTTATTTAGCCAAAATCGCTTGCAGTCCAGAAATGATTGGACAATTTTTGCTCTCATTATGCACAGAAAAGTAGAGTCTTGTCTACATGCAAGGAAAACATAAAAGATAAACCCAGGTAGAAAGTCACACACACACACGCACACACACACACGCACACACACAGACACAGAGAAACAGACACACAAACACGAACACCATGGGATACACACATATTACACACACAAACACGGTGTGACATGCACACAAACACGATGTAACACACAAAAACACGATATAATTTTGCTATTTAGCGACTTTTCGTATTAAATATTTCGGCTTTTCGTGTTGTTTTATTACTAATCAAAATATTTTGACAAAAACTGACAAAAATAAGGATGTTAGTTCTGTAACAGGACAGGTAGATTTATTTTTAAACAACCCATTACAATTATATACAATGTGCATAATTAAACATAGATACATACAACATATAGAAATCATACATGTGTAAATGCATATGCGTGTGATTAATATGTATATATATATATATATATATAAATATAAAAGTGAACATAGAAGTCAACACTTAGAGGCGACAGTATGTTTCATGCTATATGCAATCGTCAGGCCACCATATATATATATATATATATATATATATATATATATATATATATATATATATGTATTAATCAAGCACTTAAAAATACCATCGATATTTGATATCATTAATTAATATGATATTCATCAATTAATAATTTTGTTCTATCTCTGGCATAGAGCTCTCCTTGGATCTTTAACCTTTTGGAAATTCCATACGGATTATATACCATTATATATATATATATATATATATATATATATATATATGATTAATGCATACATATATATATATATATATATATATATATATAGTATTCTGGGCTCGATGAATTACTATATATGATAGTAATATATATATATATATATATATATATATATATATATATATATATATATATATATATATATATATATATACCTTTAATAAAGTTATATATACATAAATATATACATCCGTAACAACATGCATACGTCTGTATTAGGATTTTTTACGTTTTTCTATTCTTTTTGAATTTCAAATAAAAAGCACCCCCCCGCTCTCCCATAAAAACCACTTCATATTATCCCAAGTATTTCTATTGTAACCCTGTAAATTTCCTCTCCTACCTACAGAATAAAGGGAAAGGAAAACAATCATTGAATTAAGCCCAATTCACTTGAATATTCAAATCTGTAGAGGAACAAATGCTTACAAGAAAGAAGAGGAAAGTTTTTTTGACATTATCTCCTTGTATATGCCATTCACCAGATTCATGAGACCAGAAAACTTTATTCAAACCAAATGCGTATAGGTCAGTACTATCATCGAATAGCCGTAAGATGTACACCGGCCTGAACAGTCATGTTTTCATAAACTAAGATTCATACACGTTATTCTCGGTGTTCACATCAAACTCGAAATCTGTTTTTTAAATTTCCTGACAAACATGAAGAAACAAAAAGTTTTTCTATTCATCCGTAAGTATCCCTTAGGTCTAAAAGGCCCCTTGCAAAGAAGAGGGATTATTATTATTATGTTTTGCACGCAGGCGTTTTCATATCTCTCGGCGTATGCGCTAAAAATATTCCCGAGAATCAAACTATAGATATTGGTTGCTTGATATGAATAGATGTAGAAAGATAGATAGATAGAAAATAATGAAATAGATAGATAGATAAGAAAATAATAATAGATATAGATAATATATATATATATATATATATATATATATATATATATATATATATTATAATAAATAGAAACAATGGAAGAAATAGATCGATAGATAATTTATAGTTAGAAAAAAGAAAATGAGAAAATATTTTTTTAATCCTATCTAAGCTTTTGGCTTACATAAGCTGTTATCAAAGAGAGGATAGATAGGATTAAAAAATATGTATCAATATAGTGATTTTCTTTTTTCGTTTAATGATAATGTTATTAAGCTTATCAAACGATATAAAAAGAATTTACATAAAACAAATAGACAAAACTTGTCTATATTATGAAACATGCATCAATATATATATATATATATATATATATATATATATATATATTGATGCATGGTCATTTTTTATATAAAAAGATAGATAGATAGATAGATAGATAGATAGTGCATGAACAGACCTTGATAATATCGTAATTCATGCGACACATACACACGTGCACACTTATATAAATATAATGTTTACTACAAACTTTATTGATGGTATTTTCCTGTTGGCGTTGTTATTATTATTGAATAATCATCTTTTATAAG